GTACAGATACTCCATAGTTAGGCGTGCTTAATTTTCATTATTGTAATAATTTCAAACACGCCATCAAATGACGTCGAAATAGTTATTAGAAATTCTTTTAAAATACCTTTAATGCAAGCTAATTTGTTCACTCTATAGAATTATTTTCTACTTCGTACATTTATCATAAAGTTTTTAATTAGGGCATTTCTAACTTTGATTGATAATCACCAAAGACAATTGCGATTGAATCTAACCCAATTTTCTTGCTTAATGAATGGAAATAAAAAAATATTGAGAGGAAAAAAATATAAAATTTGTTCGCTCAGTATTAACTAACTTTCTTATTACACAGGACGCTGGTGGCGCAGAGTAGCGTGTAATGAGAAATCAGAATGTTAATTAAGATCTAATTAACTCTAATACAATCAACAATGCTGCTCGCGTTCTTGAAGTATCCGCAAGTCATCGCAAGGGGTTTCGTTTTGACCATTTTAACCAGATCTGTAATCTATCATCGGACCTCAGTAGATGGATACCATGATCAGTGGGTCTGGAAAGAACCGGGGGTCGTTGGATTTGGTCATTTTAATCAAATTGAGTTCGGCCAACCCTTTGGTAAAAAAAGCCGTTGAAATCACTCATTCCACGGTTCATTGTTAAGTGAGAACTCAATTTTGTATTGTAAGTTTTAACTCAGCGCGTATGCAGGATTAATTCTAATAGTAATGAAGATATCCAATGACATTGAAGGTATATTCCTTTGGTTATGTATCATAAATCTTTTTTAATTCTGTAGGTACACTGTCCGGGCTCATTTATACTTATTTAATTGGGCTTCTTTTCACGTTTTTACGATCGTATTTCAACTCATAAATAGGGTGTTTTCATATATCATAATAAATAATAAAGAGGATTTTTAGAGGTTTGTTAGTTTATTTTCAAATTGCACGGCAAACCGTAGTCAACCGTCCAACAGTCCTTATAAAAAAAGGAATTCCGTATTTTAAATTCATGTAATTATAAAGTTTAATATCTTGATGTACATTTTAAACTTAAAGTACCTAACCTTGTCAAATCAAAATGATGACAAAATGTTAATCAACGAAATTAATGTCATCCGCAACGATACAAAGAACTTTTCAAAAAATTTAGACAGATAAATCGCATAATGGAATAATGTAATGGATTTACCATTTCTATTGATTCTTTTTGCCGCAGCGTATAAATTAAAAACGAATGATTGACCGCGAGTATAAAACTAATCAATGGGGTCCACAATTCGAGTATGGGACGCCGGGTCAATAAAAACGCAATAAAACAAGACCAACAACTACAAACGCACTATTGTTGTTGGCCCAAACAAATCTAACAGCTTTTATAGAGTCCAAGTTATTTATAAGTTACATTTAAAACTGCCCATAATACAAGCTATAAACAAAATTAACAACACAACGGCCCCCGCTGCGTTCAATTTTGAGCCTGACATCGACCCTAATTCAATAAAGCAATAAAATTCACCTAATTATGCAAATGCCTTTAAAATATCAGACATTATGCCTTTTTCGAATTTAAAAAATATGACGTGCCCCGTCAAGTAAACTTGTTACCGGATTTGATTAATGGGAGCCGGTCCTAATATAGGCTCTTCATAGCGGAGTAGCGATGTAGCTCTAACAATTAATTGTGAACTCATTAGCATTTAGCCGGGAGGGTGTCATAGAAATATTTTTATAATTAATTTTATTTAAATTTGTTATGTCAGTTTTATTAAATCGTTATTTTATTAATTAAACTCGAGTCAATTATTTTATAAATTAACATTATAAAGCGTAAAATATTTAACATTTTAATACGACGCTTAAAATAGTTTATGTGTTTTTTTTACCATTTATTTAATTCAAAATATTATCAGGAAATTGTTCTAATATAAAAATGAACAGTTGTATCATATACCCCTAATTGTGTAATATAAAAATTTATGTAAAATGTATTCATTATATATTTTTGAACAAAATTTGCATGCACATTTTTCTCAGATGCATAAAAGTTCATCTTTATAACATATTTCAAAATTAATACAATTATAACGCTACTCACCGTGATAAATCAAGCGAGATTCAAAAATCAACGTCAAACTGCCAACTAAACGGGCGAAGATCAACACTAACAAATAGCCGTATAATAAAACCGCTATTTACATGATACAGTATGACGTTCTTGAGCACAACGGACTAATAAACTATGACACACCGACGCCTTCAATCGACTGATAGAGAATAAGCGGACAGTCTGCAGTCGCCTACGCACGGCTGGAAAATGAATAATAAAAAATATAGCAGTCCCAAGCCACTCCCCTGTGGCACACTTGGCCAATAGCAGTGCTGTGATACCACGACAGGCACGAGGGTGGGCCCGAATCAGTTGATACGGGTCTCTACTTCGATACCGCTAATTGACTTTATCAACAAACTGACTTTACTGGTCGGAGTCACGATATATGCGTTTGTCTGCCGCGTCAAAAGCCTAGCTGCGGCCCACTGGCTTTGTAATTAAGTATGCGGCGTGCGAATGGGTGATTTGAGCTCTACTTTAAATCGTGCTGCCTTTACGACAATTCATTTAGACAATTTCGTTACGCTGTACAATACTGCAAGCAATTTTATTATGATAAACTTGTATGTGTATCAAAAGATTCAACGAATTATATATTTAATATTTAATTTACTTTATGAAATCTGTACTTATTGATGGCATTAATTATATTGAATAAACAAAAGCTATTTTAAAATTCTTTTCCTATCTTTGAGTATTTTTTTTTCAATTTCAGTTAGGTATAGGTTAGGTTAGGTATAGGTCAGGTAGGTATAGTAGGGTTTTTGTCTTTTTAATATACCCGTGATAGCTCAAGTGCCCGGGCGCTCGCATTTATCACGTGCTCATTGGTTAAGGAAAAAACATCGTGAGGAAACCTGCATATTTTCGAAGTTATAACAAAAAAGATATTTCGAAAATAGTGAAGTCCGCCAATCCGCAGTGGGGTCGCGGTCCGTGGTAGACTATGCCCTGATACTCTCTTTACAGAGGAGGCCAGCTGTGGGACATTTACAGGCTGTTACTTTACTTTTTACTTTACTTTACCAACTGTTTAATTGTTTTATAATGCGCAGTAGGTGTTGCCGTTTCACATTGTTGATAGAGAGAGGATATATAATTTTTTCATTATTTAAACGTGAATACACACAAGAATCAATCATACACACACTAAATAACGACAAAATCATTTAAGTGTCCAAATAAAAATGGTGATTTTGTCGGGACGTTGAGTGGTTAAACTAACCATAGACCTATCTATATGATTATGAAACACGGTTTCCATAATTTGAGATAGAGGTATGCTCGTATCAAAACCTGTATTCACGTATATAGAAAACTCCAAAAACTTAACTGAGTAAATAAAAATTAAATGCAGACTAACCTATAAATTAAAATCCAAGTGGTCATTAGACTATTTATTTTGTATAGACGATTGTTCTAAGTTATAATTTTGTATGGAAGAAGCTTCCGTTTAACGAAACAAATATTTTATTCCATGTTTCATTATTCCATGTAAACAATTTAGCATTACGATAAAACAGCAACTGTTGATTGTTTGCGCAGTCCGCCGTTGGATTGCCCGACACAATCCGCCGTGCGTAGGTACAATTTGCGGTGCGACGCGTACGGAGTTAAAAGCGTCCCCGCTGTTGTAATAAATGATTTAATGAAACACAATTGTTAAGCGAACGATTGTTACGCGACAGATAAGCGAACGTCGCCGAGCGACACATTAGTGCGCGCGGCTGATTACAAAATAACAAGGATTTCCTCCCGCGAGTAATTACACGAATAACACAAATTACACAAGTAATAACACATGAATTACGAGCCGATGTTGCTCCCAGCGAACGCGACGCCCTTGTCGCTCGAATCACACGAATTACGAATAACTACGCAATTCCCGCGGCCGGCCTCAAATTGGTCCATATTTAATTTTGGGAAAATGTAGAAATAAACGTTTTTATTTGTGTAAATAACACAATAAAACCGCCGCCCGCCATTAAGGCCCGACCGACACGGAACTTTGTGCACACCGAATTACGCAGATACGATCTGTGTCACCGTAATTGTTATTTTGTGTCGTTAGTGCCCTGTATCGTGTAAATTCAGTTAGGGGATACGAGGCGCTCTTTTTTTTTTTAAATTCAATATACGCACACACACCTAGACCGGAAACGGACGCGTTAGAAAAAAATTACGCGCATCCGCCCATTATCAACTTTCGCAGTTATTGCAATAACTGTAATTAGCCTTTGAAATCGATTCTACAAAACTTCGACACGTTTCCCGTTCAAAGCGAGCGTTTTGATTTTTAAAACAGGAGCATATGGTATTGAGTTAGCAATAACTTCAGAATATTGTACATAATATAATATTATATATAGTTTAGTACCGTTTAGTTAACTGTTCCTGTCGGGTTTTTGTGGCAAATAAACTAGAATAAAACGGTTTTTGTATCACAATATCTTGTTTCTTTATTTGTCTCTCCTTGAATTGGAAAATATGTAAATACACTGTAAATTGGTCAAATATGTACTTAGTACGGATGATTTACATTATACTAAAATTTTGAAATTGGTACACATGGTACATTTGTAAGTTAGCATATTATACGTAGTCCTGACGTATAATATGCTAACTTACAAAGTCTATAAGGTACTATCATGAAAACCAACAAAGTTGAAAGCACAAATCACGTTCGCCTTAGCTCTGAGACGAAACGGTAACTCAATATTTGTTTTAATGACGTGGATAATTGATTGTGCACGGCGAGATGCGGCTTCCTCCCGCACCGAAAATCCGGCGTCACGACGCGTCGCTCCCAGCCACGGCTCGGACGGACCACTAACGAAATTTATCAAGCTCTGTGGGCCGCGGAACAAAAAGCAAATCGAGTTACCGGTTCAAAACAGAGAAAATCAACGAACAAACACCATTAACACGGCCATTTTCGTCCGCTCCCCGCTCGTGATGACGGTGTTTTTCAGATCGCCTCTCGCGCGCCGCAGCCTCGAGGGATCGAGCGATTTCCCGACACCGCGACCATTGCCGCGTCGGAATCGGGCCCTTCGCTCAACTTCTTGTGCAAGCGGACAATGGACGTCGCCCTGTTGATTTATACAGACGGCATCTTTGTGCACGCTGGGCGGGAGTAGAAGATTAAATTCACGACTCATCTTTTTGGTAAGATCCGTTCGGTCTAAACAAACTGTGCGTCGCCGGCCTCCGAATCGATTGGTCCCGCCGGCCCTGGAGCGTTGGCACTGAAAAAGGAGAACGACACTCTTCGTTCCGTCGTGTTGAACGTCGCGTTGGAGAGATATTAATAGGCTTGAAAATCGTTTAAAGTAAATATTAAATAATAATGTTCTACCTGATTACAAGGCGGTGGCGGTTCTTGTCGAGTTTGCAGTTTAAGCTCGTAATGTTTGACTTAGGTATTGTCCACGCAGCAGCTTTCGATGTTGCACGAATGGAATGGCTTGTCAGGGAAAGTAAAGCGACGTTAGAGAAGACCGGCAGTCTTTTCGTCTGCAAAGTATGGCATCACGGGGCTCATTATTTTACAATCTGGCAATGCATTTGTAAGCTCACTTGATCGTGTTGTAGACGTCCATGAGCGGTAATCACTTAACATTAGGCGAAGAACCTGTCACATAAAAATATCTCAGTGGTGCATCCTGTGGGTTTTTGTCAGGATTTCTTTTGGTGAATCACTGTCATAATATGTGAAAGCCAATAAGCCTTCAGACCAAATAAGCCTTCAAATAACCTTACAGGCCTAAAGAAAAAAAAAATAAAACATGTTATTCGTGGATACCGTGAAACGTGTTTATTCAAGTCGGTAACAGTTCGCGATTCCGTCGCCGTACATCAAGTTCATGTTCGTCAAAAAGTGGAATAAATGAACAGCTTCTGTTTCAAGAAATCTATTAATTTGCTCGATACTCGATGCTGGTAATATCACGATTACTTTGGGAAAATTAGAATTTAAAATCGTAAGTTTACAAAGGTTTGTTGTCATTGTTTTTGTGTTAAACCGGATATGCGCTTGGAATCTTATAATGTACGAGATAAGAATGCTAAAAAAGAAGTTTAAGTTAACAAATCAGTAAACAGTAGAATGTAAAACGTTATAATGAAACGTTCCCGTGACCTGATGTAAGGTTTCCAATACTTCGAGGATTTAAAATCAATATCGGCGATAATATCCCTTAAACCAATTCTTTCTGCCGACCCATTTTATTTATCTTAAACAAATCACTGCATTCTTTTACACCATCGGGTTGTAATCATGATTAATTTTTGAGCTAACTTTGTCTGTCAAGAATTATACCTGGAACATTTTTCATAAACAGAAAGATATCAGTGGAAAGTTGCATTATTCAATTATTTTATTGTTAACTGTATTGGAGACAATCTTCATTTTTAGAGTCAGCCCTATTTTTTATAGCGGGTGTCACCTAATGGCGGGCCGGGGTCCGGATTTTGTGCGCAAAAATAATGATATTTTCACATTAATATTTGAAAAATAAACCTTGATACTTACTTTTGCTTATTACATTTGTTTATTATTTAATAGAATAATCTTCAGGTATCCTTTATTTTTATTTATTTATTGATATTGTATGGTCACTCCTGATTTATACGTCAAATCTTTGTGAGTATTGTGTGGTGTTAATTCGCTTTATAATCGAAACGTTTACTTTGTCTATTATATTAATCCCATATAATTTTTTTTTATGTGAAAAGTTGCCAAACGAGCAGACGGTTCACCTGATGGTAAGTGAATACCGCCACCGATGGACATCTGCTACACCCGAGGGTTACAGATGCGTTGACAACCTTTTGAAAATTGGGCTCCGGCTACCTTACTCACCAGACGAAACGTGAGTATTTGTCATACTTCCATTTTACGCTGGTTTTCTGTGAGGTCGTGGTACTTACCCGAACGGGCCTGCCCATTCGTGCAACAACCGAGGCTGCTGCGTGGCCCTACCACCGTAACATCATTTTCGATTGATTATTTATTTATCTATCAGCATTCGATACATCCCTCTGTTAATTAAAAGCGTTTACAACAACACCGGCGATGAAAAGATTACGGCTTTATTTTAAATTTGTCGACTATTTCACAATATTACATTTCAGCGTTAACGACGCCTCGTAAATACGTCCATCAGCAATCTACGTCGATAAGTAAAAGATTGATTTTACTGTACCGCATATTTCATACGTTAGTAAAATAAGTAATTAATGAAGCGGAATCTCCCTCCCAATAATTGAATAGCCTCGTACAAAGTAAGTCGGAATGAGCACTAAATGAATATACTGCGGCGCGAGCTTTACTGTGCCGTAAAAACTTGACCACGGAACGACTCTTGAAATATGTGCAAAGGAATAAAAAAGTTTTACCGCTTCATTACCTCCAATGGGCGAAGGATACTGTTCTGATTCGATGTCCTTCGAAAGTTTGCGTCGCCTTGTACAGTCGAATTAATGGCAGAGTTATTAAATTGGATCGCGGAAGGAGCGAGACCTTATCTTCGTGTGTCTTTGTTTAGAAAGCTTTTGTAATGAAGATACTTTACGTTTTTTCTCGAAGTTTCATTTCATTTCGAGCACCCGACCCGTCAAATCATTATAGCATGTATATAGTAGTCGTATTTGAACACTTCTCGTCGAGTCATTTACAGCATGTTTAGTGTGGATCGGACGGGAAAGCCTCGATGTCTACTATATGTTCTACTGGGGAGCTGGAAAATTATTCGATCAACACAGCAAACGCTGACTTTGTCTTGAATTGATTGAATTGAAAAAACTGTATAGTACTGTGGTGGGGCCACGCAAGTGTTCGCTGTTAGACGAGTGGATAAGTACGTCACTCACAGACTCACAGTATACTCACAGAAGACTGGCGTGAAACGGAAGTATGATACTTCTGCGTTTCGTCTGGTGAGAGAGGTAGCCGGGGCACACTTTATTAAAAGGTGACAACGTATCTGTTCAACAGGTGTTGCACATGTCAATGGGCGGTGGTTGCCGCGGCGGTGCTGCGCTTGGGTCTGGATTGATTTCTTATTGGTATCGAAATGAGTCGGTGGCGCAGCCGCTAAGCTGTTGGCTTCGGCGTCCGTGGTCGTGGGTTTAATTCCCACACGGTACAAGTATTAGTAAGTTCGAGTCGGACTCACGCAAGAAGGGTTCCGTGCCTTTATCTATAAAAACGGCAAAAAAAATCATCTGTAGTGTGGGAGTCTCTCTCAAATATTTCCTATTCTGTTTTATAGTGCATTTTGTCATAGCGGCAACAGAAAAACATCATCTGTAAAAATTTCAACTAACTATCTTGGTTCATGAGATACAGCCTGGTGACAGATGGACCGACGGACAGACAGCGGAGAAGTAATAGAGTCCCGATTTACCCTTTGGGTACGGAACTCTAAAAACTAGCAACCAGTGACGCGAATCGTATCCAATTAAATGCTATAAATTGAGAGCTCGATAATGGACTAAACAGAATAAACGACCAAGGAAGCTTGCGTCGTATATCTCGGATACGCGAAAGATATGAAGCTCTGAGATTTTTTTTGACCATATAATATTATTTGTAAAATTAAAGTAAAGTATCGGCTACATGTCCCAGTGCTGGGCAAGCAGCGGGCCTCCTCTATACAGAGGGTATCAGGGCATGGCCCTACTGCGGATTGGCGGACTTCACATCTCTTCAAATTTTTTTTTTTTATTTTTTAAAAAATATCCAGGTTTCCTCACGGTGTTTTCCTTCACCGCCGAGCACGGGATAATTCAGCGCTGAAAATTAATAATTTCATCGGTGCCGGCACCGGGGATCGAACGCATGTTGCTCGAGTATATTGAATTAAATTTTAGAGCTGTGGGGATATCGGGTACTTAGCCTAGTAGGCTAGCTTAGAATCCTGACAGCACAGGAAAGTTTTTCTACAATTTATCTGTTAAGCTCACATTTAAATATGTATTACAGTTTTCACTACCTTCGTTAACTTGTAGAAAGACGGGATTGTTTATAAAACGATCTCATCTTACGAAATCTATTGACGCTAGTCGTTTACTGTCGCCAGCAATTTTTTATCTCATCAACCTTTTCGGTTGGACGCACAAGCGGCGGATGCTGCCTCCCCGTAGATAATAAATAATAAATGTGATTTTACGAGCACAATTCACTGTGAAATCAAAAGACACAGCCTGTTTATTTTCCTATCAGAATTGTTTAATGAGTTAGAAATGAAACTTCTCGTTGGACCTACTCCGTAGTCGTTTTTTATGTTCATTGACACTGGAATTGCCGCGTGATGACCATATTGATGCTTTTAGTCAATGGTGAGATTTAATGCTAGGGCCGTAAAATTATAATATATCGACAATCAAATGGTACCGGCACAGGCAATCGTGGAGGTTTTCTATTAGGAATTTGAAATAAAATGAAAAAATTACACAACCAGCATTGAGTTATGCTTCATTTCGTTAAATATACATAATTACAAGTAAGTATAATATATATTCGAATTTCAGTATATATACCTGAACACAATGAACTTAATAGTTCATTGTAATCTTAACACATGGTTTAAAAGGCCTTTTTAATGTAAGTTAAATATATCAACACCCATTTGTACCTGTAAAAGAATCGATTTATTTGCCTTTTAAATCTCCGTCTTCGGTATTAATAGACTTCAGTTCGACTTATTTTAATCCAAAAATTTTTATCATTTATTCTAAAACTCATCAACTCCTCAAGCAGTTTTGCCGGTAACTAGCATTTGATCGAATACAATTGAAATATTTAGCAAAAAATGCTAAAATGCATGCTTAACGTTGCATTATAATTTATACTACGTACAAAGGTTTAATAATTATTCAATTATTAATAATGAATTTCTTATATAGATAAAAATACAAAAAGATGCCATAATGGGATTGTCACCACAAAGTCTTAAATAGTTTTGATTGTAATTTTTATACAATTATAATAGTTTATGAAACTTTTAGGCATTTAGATTTGTAATTCTATCAAAGTAGAAGAAACAAATCATCAGTGGGTTTGTCTAAAGACACGATTGCAATTTCGAAAGGAAATTAATTGTATTTAAAATCGTATTTTAATAGTAGTGCCTCAGCGTTAAATATTAATTGACAT